GTCGTGCCCGTACCGGACCGGGACCGGCAACGGGATCGCAACCCTCGGTGTTGCGCCCGCACCTCGCTCAGCCAGTGAGCGGGAACCGGTCTGTATGTGGGATCCAAACCCTCGGCGGGAGCGCCGCCGCGCTCCCAAGCGGCGCACTGTAGCAGTGCGCCACCGGGCCGGCCCCAGTTTCCTAATTTTTGAGGTTGTAATCACTTAGGTCTGTACTGACCAGGTGGGATAGTGCCCATTCCCCCTTCTTTGCCAGCAGTGTATTACCAAATGGTTTGTTCCGCCCCTGTGTGATATGCTTGCCTTTTTAAAAAAATTTTTTTACCAAAATGACATATGAGTAACAAAACATTGCAACACTGGGCTTTTAGTCTTTTTCTTATTGACCTGTAGGAATTGTTTGCTATATTCTCCGTTACTATTTTATATTGAAACAGTCACTTTCTCCCAGTTTGTAGTTTTTTTCACATTCTTGATACTGTCTTTGTTGTTGGGCAGAAATCTGCATTTTAATGTAGGTGAATTATATTTTTCTTTTGCTTTATGGTTTGTGCCTTTTGTGTCTTGTTGAGGAAGTGCATCATTTTGCAGGGTCATTATTTGCCTATCTTTTCTTCTAAAAAGTTTTGTGGTGTTTAGGTCTTTATCAATCCAGAATTGGTATTATGTATAATATGTGGTGGTTGGGTATAATTTCACCTTTTTTTTTTCATAAAGATAGCCTAAATTGTTCCTTCTTTCCTCATTGCTGTGCACTGCCAGGTCAGATAACAAGTTTTCATATATATGTGGTTTCATTTCTGAGTTTCTATGTAGTATCCCTGGGTCAGTATAATACTGTCTTAATTACTATTGCTGTGTAACAAGTTTTGGTATCTTTTTAAAACAACAGAAAATATTTTGAGGAAGCCCTTCATTTGTTCTTATATAGCACCTTTCACCTGCTCCCTTTACCCTGATAGAATAGGAGATTCAGAGAATGTTTTTCCTAGCACATTATAAACCACTTTGGAAAAACTATTAGGAGAGGAAAACCCCTCTATCCCCTTCTCCCAAGGCCGTATGTGATGCTTAGATGTGTTCTGTATTTAGTCTAGTCCTGGCTTCTGATCTCTAGACCAGTGTGTCCAACCCTCTGTTCAGCTCCTGCACTCTCGTGGCTCATAGACGTGGCCAGGACAGCACAAGCTGCTGCTCCCACCATGTTCATTCTTAGTAAATGTCAGCACAGCCTCAGTTTGTTATGCCAGGCGGAAGTCTAGAATCCTTTCTCCTCACCTCCAACACAACCAGTCGCTAAGACTTGCTGATTCTGCCTCCTAAATATTTGTCAAATCTTTTCCCTTGTTTTCACTGGTGGCCCTGCCCCACTCGAGCAAGGAAACGTTGTTCCTCACCAGGACTGCTGTGATGGTGTCCTCCATCCCTGCCTCCATTCTTGCCCACTTCCATCCAACCTCCAAATAATGCGATCTGTTAAAAGTGGAAATTAAAATATTTCCTTTTTAAAATCCATCAGTGGTTTTCCCATTTCTCTTAGGATAATATTCAGGGTCCTTAATGTGTGCTCCGCATGGCCCTGCAATGTCTGGCTCCTCTCACACTTCAGCTTTGAGCCACAGCCCCTCTGCACTCTTTCAGAGTCACCGAGCTTGGGGGCTTTTGCCCGGGACGTGCCTGGGTTACTTTTATTTGCACTCCACTCCTGCCCCCTGTACCCTGCTCATGCCTACATCTCCCTCAAATCTCACTTACCAGCCACACTAGCTCAGACAAGGTCCTT